TCATATGGCTTCTCTCCAGTGTGAACTCTGAAGTGTTCAGTGAGGTGAGCCCTTTGACAAAAGGACTTCCCACATTTTCTACACTCATACAGCTTTGCTTCAGTGTGAACTCTCTTATGTCGAATTAGGTTCAAGATTCGTCTAAAAACTTTCCTACACTTGTGACACTCATAAATCAGTTCTCCAGAACAGTCACCGTGACTTTGAACAACTTTCAGGTTGTGGCTGGCAGCATCTTTACATTCATCCCAATGGTAATGACTTTTTCCATCAAGAAATTTCTGTGAAATCTCACTGCCACAGGGTAGCTCCTCAGTGTTGAGAGTGGCCTGGTGCTTGGGAAGCTCTGAGTTGTACTGCAAGTCTTCCCCAACCTCCCTGCTGGCTGAAGGCACCGAATATAAGTAGAAGCTGGGCCTGCTCACAAAGGAAGCCCTGTCCATAGTTTCTTTCCAGGGCTCGTCTCCACATTCATTCCTCTGTTGCTCGTGAGGGTTTGCACTGAAACAGAAGTCTCCAACACGTGTGTCACTACAGAAGGATTTCTGCTCAAAATATGCTGCATGTGAACCAGTCAGGTGCAAAATACCTTTTAACACAGAGAAACACCGCTTACACAGAGGAATCTTCTGGGTGCTTGGAGCTGTCTTAGAAGCCCTGACCAGCGACTCTCCTTGTATAAATACAGAACAGGCCTCATCACCATCGATTTTATGCCAACAACCTGAAAAGTGAGAAAGGGTAAGGAAATGAATGTTGAATGTGGTGACAGGGGGAAGCCCCATTACAAAAGTGTGTCACACATCACATGTTGGTTCCATGCAATTGTGTGAAAATAAGAGATGAGCAGGAAGGATTAATAAGAGGCTCTTGTCTCTTTCTGGGCTAATGAAGATCACAACACAGAGAGGCCTCACCAGAAATATGACAAAAAACATGGCAAGCACCACATGGATTAGAATATGGATTTCCAGCTAATACTTCAACTACCAGCATTTAGCATGGCTTGTCTGCTGGGACGGGGACAAGCTGTGCAAGAGATTGGTTAGGTCTAACTCCAAGTAAAATTCAATAAAGGAGTAGCCGGTTTCGAGGACTAATTAGCACGTACATGCACCTCATAACACATGTGCAAGTCAATGTTGCAGAATACTGCAGAGGCACCAGTGTAGAGGAACAGGTGACAAAGAGGTGAACAGTCAGCACTAGTCCAGAGCAACAAAGCTTGCTATAGTATTCAGGGAAGAGAATATAAGAAACAATTGATTGAGGGTCTCCCAGGAACAGCCTATTGTTCATGTAAGTAAATACCATAACATGTAACAGGTCACCACAAAGAACCTTTATCTAGAGAAAGATGGCAGAAGTTGAAGCCATGCATGTGGATACTGTCAGCCATGCATGTGGATACTCCCATGAAGAAAAAGTGCAAGCTGGGACCCATTAAGCTCACTGCAAGACTCCTGACTTTCTGTTTCCTGTACATTTTGAGGTAACAGGTGTTAGCGGGATGTTCGTGGAGTCCTTTGCTCAGGACTCACCAACCAGCTCATCCCTGGAAGCCACAGCACATTTGACAAGACAGTGAGGAAAATTAGCAGAGGCCATGTTCTTGCTGTGGGAGAGAGAACGCTATGCCTGAGGAATAAAAGAAGAGAGGTCATCACCTCAGGACACTGGGAGAACATCAAGGTCTTACCTACAGATGACACAAGTGCAAACACTTCCAGCATCACATCCCAGTACAGAAGTCTCTGAGCCTCATCAAGGAGCCCCCATTCCTCCTGAGAGAATACAATGGCCACGTCCTCAAAGTTCATATCCTGTCATAATGGGGACAGTACAGCCCATGATCAGCTTCACTCCTAAGATTCTAAGTCTGTCATACTCCCACCCTCAACACCCATCTGCTCTGTCCACTCCAGAGAAAATACCAGGCCTTCATCCCATGAAAGCCACTGTTTTCTTATATTTATACTGACATTTTGTCTTCCTACTCTAATAAAGGCCTTTGAGCAGATAAGACACCTGAGCTCTGGACCTCCCCTGTATGCCACACTAACTTTTATCAACAGAGTGGTTGTTAAAACCATAGGTGAAAGAGAGATGCTGGCCATAAAGATACTGTGAGTGATCTGATACTTGTCTTGTCAGTCAATACCCTCAGATTGTTTCTCAAAGACGCCAAATACATGGCATCACACTGCACCCTCTTGACCCCAATTGCAAGGTGCCACGGCCATAGCTTTGCACTACCTGTTGCACAGAGTTCTTTGAACAACACTTCTCTCACACAGCTTCACTCCCAGAAGCACAACGTCAAAGGTAATGCAAATTTGTTTCCTAATTACCTTTTTTACCAAAGTTATAGTTCACCATCTCCATAATCTCTCACCCTTTACCTTTCTCCTTACCCATTCCAGTGGAGATTTTGAAGCCTGGGTAACACTGATGTATGCTACTCACTCCTATTATCCAGGGTGTCATCCCCAACAACAAAAGGCAGGTGGTTAATTAAGCATCTAAGCTCTGTACCTTGAATATAGCGCCAAAACAACCCTGTTTACAGGCAATTACCCTAAAATTCACCTTACTGGATCATCCAGACACCACCAGAAATGGGCTTTCTGGTCATTCACTCTTATGTCAATGTCAGGGTGCTGTGGCCATGAATTCACATTCCCTCTTCAAGTGCAAATCACTCTTTACCACACCTCTCTCACACCTGCACTCCCTTAGCCCCAGCCCCCATAGTCCTCTCCTTAACGACTTATTACTTATCAAGTGTTGTCCAGAGGATGCTTGCTAACATCTCTCACTTAAACACCACTCAAGTCCCAGCCCCGATGGCTCTCTGTTCCATGCCTAGTGAGTCTCACAGATGACCACTCAAGCCTCTAAGTAATCCACAAGACTGACTGTAACTCCTCACATACAGGCCACACCAAAGACCACAACAAAATCCTGGTGAGTGTTTAGAGAAGTTAATATGTACCAGCCCTAGTCTAATCTTGTTTCAATAACTCTTCCGCCTCCAAACTAATCTCAGGTCTACTCATCTGTTAAAGGTCTTGGCCACTGCAAAACCATGATCTCTCCCTGACACTGTACAGAACAACTTCTGTCCCTATGCTGTGTTGTGACCCACAAATACTGACCACAGCAGGAAAGCCAGTCTTCAGGCACACACTGTCCCTTCTGAGCTACTACTACCATTACCAACCTGACCATGATTTCCTGTATGAAAGTGATCTACAGTCCTGGCTGATGTGTCTCAGCTGGTTGAGCATAGACCCATGCACTGGCAAGGTCATATACCTGGGTTGTGGGCTAGATCCAAAATAGGAGTTATACAGGTAGAAACTGATCATTGTTTCTTGCTCATCACTGTTTCTCTGTCTCTCTCCCTCTCCCTTCCTTTCTATATCTAAAATCAGTATAACACTGAGTGGTGGCCAGATTATTATGATCACCTGACATTTGTAGGCAAATAAGCTATACTTTCACACTGAAGTTGCTAGAGGGCCAGACCATTATAAATAGGGAAGCAGTTTGTTTGCCATGACAGTAGAAGTGATTTTTTTCTAAAGATATGGGTAAACAACGCGATTTAACAGCCTTTGAACGTGGGATGATTGTTGGCACTTGGAGCCATGGAGCGATAATCAGCAAAACAGCTGAATTCATTAAATGTTCCAGAGCAGCTGTTGATAAAGTGTTTAAACACTGGACTGTCAGCAGAAAATCTGGGTCTGAACGTGCGAATTGTGGCTGTCAGTGAATAGGCAATGTTAGGGCAGAACAGAGAGTGGCAAGACTGGTACGAGACAACAGAAGGGCAACGGTACATTAAATTACTGCAGATCTTAATCAGGGATCCTCTCAAATGATCTCTGAACGCACAATAATAATCTGGCCACTCAGAGTGTGTGCGTGTGTGTATAGTATATACACTGAGTGGCCAGATTATTATGATCTCTGAACACATAATAATCTGACCACTCAGTATATATATATATTTAAAAAACATACCTGCGGGTTCCTAAATCAGCTCACTCTTCACTCCAAGCCTCTGCACATTCTGGAACCTATGCCCTGGCAGTCCTCCCACTCATTGCACTGGTTGCTAAAAACAAGGTCCACGTCATGAAGCCCTAGTCCTGGCCTTAGGATTCTGGGCTTAGTGTCTGTTCAAAGTCCCCAGGTCCAAGGGCTACAAGAGTGGCTGACAGTCCCAGGACTTTACTATCTAAGAGGACATAAGTGTGTGAGGCCCTGATATAAGTTCCACAAACCTTGTACACCTAATCGATTCAGCATTTGCAGGAATTTGTGGAAAGGAAATGGTCTGTTGAGAGCCTGGCAAACACCACCAGGATCTAGGGCAGCCGTGGGCAAACTACGGCCCTCGGGCCAGATCCGGCCCATTTGAAATGAATAAAACTAAAAAAAAAAAAAAGACCGTACCCTTTTATGTAATGATGTTTACTTTGAATTTATATTAGTTCACACAAACACTCCATCCATGCTTTTGTTCCGGCCCTCTGGTCCAGTTTAAGAACCCATTGTGGCCCTCGAGTCAAAAAGTTTGCCCACCCCTGATCTAGGGGGTAAGGCTGCTCTATACCCTTGCCCAGCCCAAATGCCAGGTGACCTTCAGATGCCTGTATTATCTCAGGGCTCAGTCCTCAGTGCTCACTCTTGCCACTTACCTTATCATTTACAGGACTTCTCCTTCCTGTCAACAACTGCTGTCCTCTGTCTTCTAGTCTTTCTTTCCTCTGAGCAATGATAGTTAAAGTTAGAACCCTAAATCAGAAAATGTTCCCCTTTTTTCACAACCATCTATTGTTAAGTCTGATCAAATAATTGAATAGATACCCCCTCCCCTGGGAACTTACCTTTATGCCATTTCACAATGGATATTCTACTTGCTTGGACCACATTCCACTTCCTAAGACTGTTATCTCTCCCCTCCAGCATTTCCCAGAATGCAGACCTAAACAGAGAATTCTCTGACCAGAAAAAGCCCAGTCTAGACTCCTTTAAAAATCTGGCTCCCCATCTTTGGGCGCTGGTGCCATTTTGGGGCTCAGCTCATCTGGTATCCTGATGACATAATATATTCATAATTCTTTACCCTTTCTGGCCTTGTTCGATCCTCCTTCGGTGACCCTAACATTTGATAGCAAAACATGGGAGGGTTCTATGGGGATGGGGAACCATCGCTCTGCTTTGGTCACCCAAAGTTTGCTACTCCGAGAGCAGTAGGCAGTGGCAGCTCAACCTGGGCTTACCTCTAAATTCAATTCGGGTGACTCAATTACAGGCCTCAATTAGACCTCCCTCCCTTATCAACCATTCTGAGCCAGCCGATGACTATGCCAGATCAGGAATCTCTCATTCTCCATTGCTGACCCTCCATCCCACACCGGCCCATCTTCTCTAGGTGAGTGACTATCCACAAATTCACCCATCTTGAGTCTTCTACCCACTCTCTCAAACTGACTTCTCGAAAGTCTCTCATCGTAAAAGTCCTAGCGCTAGGCCAGAAGGAAGACTCCTCAGCCAATTAGCTTTGGGTCTTTCTGGAGTGGGGGCACCAAGTTCAGAAGGTCATCTCTCATTTCCCATGGTGATTTGTTTAGCTGCGGGGATGCGTGCCCTAGTCACCTCTGGGTTTGCGGTCTGTCACTCACCCTTCCTCTCTTATGGGCCCCGCCACACTCCCTCTGCACACTCACGGGGGAGATCGTGCCTAACCACCTCATTTTTTTTTTTTTTT